CTACCATACTCATGGGGCTTCATAGGTTAATTTATGGCAGTGGGGAATGAAATATTTAAAAACCTGCCTTGAATTTGATGGCATTCTTGTCTCGCCAGTCATATTACTCTATATCATCTTATGGCTCAAGACCAAAGTATGTATTATATGAAAAGATGTGGTGTGCAATTGTTCTACTACTTTTAATGTCTTACAATAAGTACCTGAAGGTTTGATCTGGGTCTGGAACAAACTATCAAGACTCTTCCTTTTAAAATTCCTGTGTGTCCGTGAATTCTGTAAGAGGACTGGAGGGGCCATAATTAAACTTCCACTCATTGTGTGTGATGATACTGAGACTTGTTTTCTGTTTACTTGAGAGTAATCACTTGGGCAGGGACGGCAGCACATCATGTGCTTTGCTACTTGAGGCTATTAATCTGCTTCATCTGCTTTTGGCTTCACTGCAGAATCAAGATACCCCAGCATGCAAAGAACATTTTCTTCCCTTATTTTGTGCAACATAATCTCTAGAAGGCACTGTTGCATCGCAGAATAGAACAAATAACAATGAGCACAGGTTCTTTTACTTTCCAGAATAATACCCCGTTTTCCTTGCTCTGAAAAAAAAAATACTGAAAGTGTTGGTTGAAAACAAAAGCAAAACTGGAGGGCCCTGACATATTCTGAAGGACCCATAAAAAAGCAGGAGTAGAAAATAAAGAGAAGGCAATAAATGTGCCATGTGGAAAAGCTTTATGACATTAATATAGGAGTATGACTAGGCCTGCACCTGTGGAGCCCTGGGTCTATACCCCAGAGTTCCGACTGTCAGCAGAAGAGGGCTTTCCCCCTGCTCCCCACCCCCAGTTTAACAGTCACATATATAGTGACTTTTAAGAGAGATTGCGGCTGGGGGTAAAGGGTCAAGTCTCCCCTCTCCACTTGTTGCAACCCTCCTCCACCCTCAGAGTTCTCCCTGCATGGCAATTAAACTGGGAGGGGGGACCATTTATTTTCCATTTGTTTGGGGTAATCCAACATAGGGTTCAAATTACTCCAACATTTTAGTTGAGGCGATTTGGATGAGAAATGAATTGGCTAGTTTATCTTCAGAGAAATTGAGAGATCAGTCCTACTGATTACTTCTGGGACTGCATAGCTGCATATTAACCTAGCCATAAATCAATAAGTGCAAATTTTATGCACTTCTGTTTCCTATCGGCCTGGGCCCTGAACCTTTAGGTGTCTGGCAGTACTCCTGTATTAGGGTATATACAGTACCTTGGACCTGAGGGGCATGTAGATTGGCCTGGTCTGCCTGATCACAGCAGCTGCAACAAGATACCACGCTTTGCTGAGCTCCTGTGTTGGAGCCATGGTGGTTGGCCATGTCCGTTCAGGTGACACAGCAAACTGCACAGCTGTGGCCCATACTCAGTGTGTACAACCAGCTGCGCCAGCTCCTTTCAGCTGTAATGATTGTGTGAACGGTCCTATTCTTACGAAATTGTAGTTCCATTGTAGTCTGCCTGCAAGCTTTTGGTTGATGAATTTGTAAAAATTTCAATAAGCCGTGAAATTGAACTAATGCTGCTGTTTTTATTTTTTAAGTAACATGACTGTGTATTTTTTTAAGTGACCATAACAATGTGTGTTGATTCATGTCCGATTTGAGTCCGTAAAACTGTTTATGAAAAATATTGCTGAAATTATATAAGGATTAGAACTGGCTTGACTAAATGGTAGTTTGAAAGAGAAAAAGAGGTCATCTTGGGACCAATGTTCATGGAATTGGGATCCCAGGCAGCAGCCCGTTCTATTAGGAGATAAATTGCCGCCAAATGTGCACCAGGGACCCTGAAAGGGCTGCACCTCTGCCTTGCTATGAAGGAATGTATTGATTTTTCACTTAATCAGCACAATGTTTAGCTTAATTTGAAATGGGAATGAGGGAAGGCTAACATTTAGCCACAATACTGAATTGCAGGATGATGTTCTATTAAAAAGCTATAATTTCTTTTAAAAAGGTTAAGTCAATGGGTTTGCCTGCTGTTTTATTATTTCCCACTGGTAGCCACTTCAAGGCAGATGATATTTTATGTCAGCTCCAAAAATACTAATGGGAGCACATCTTATAATAAAATAAGAAGAATCTGTCAACTGATTGATTAGTGCCTCTTCAACCAAAGTGAGAAAGGTACGAAAACGGCACTGTGGTTTATTCTGCATATGTGTATGGGACTAAAGAGTTTGCATACTAGCCATATTCACATTGCAAACTGCAGAATGTTGGATTGGATCCAGGACTAGCTTTCTGTGAAAGTAAGGGGCATTCCCAAAAGGGGAATCTACTGCCTAATTTTAGGGGAGCTTCCCACCTATAGCTCTTTCAGCAGTTTCTCCTGACTCCCTGTGTAGAATTTTCAGGATGCTGGAGGGACTGCTGTGGGGAGGAAAAGGTGGCAAATTCCATTTCCACCAATGCAGTCCATTGAGCTTAAATTTAGATGTAATGTAATACACTATGAAAGGTTGACATACAAGAAGGATGGGATAAAGAAAGAGGTTGTAGATTTAAAAAATAGTAATCAAGAAGGGATAAGAGCCACTGTAGTCTGGTGGGTCAAGTGTTGGACTAGGGACCTGGGAGATCTGGTCTAATCTCTACACAACCAGGAAGATCACTGGTGATCCCGGGGCCAGTGGCTCACCCTCAACCCAGCCTGCGCCACAGCATTGCTCCTGAGAGGATATAAAATGCAGCTATGCAAGCTGTCTTGAGTTCCTCACAAGAGGAAAAAAAGGGACATAAACGCAATGCAATAAATAATAGGAATAATAATTCTGTTAGGTGCAGAACACAGATGGAATGCTGAAATAAGATGAAGCTAGAAGGGGTCTTCAAGTAGAAGCTCAGAGGGACACAGTTTAAGAAAATGTGGATACCTAATGGGGATGAATGGGAATATGGGAAGTGTTTAGTATTTTACTGAAAAGCTGCTTGTGAACAACAGCAACAACCAAGATGGGAGAAGGGAAGGGGCAGCCTGGGAAAGCAAGGCAGTTACTCCCACTGTTTTTCAGATCAGATGACATTATTCCTTGGGGGCACCTGTACTTTTGGCTGATGAGAAATGCATGTTAGCTATAACAAATGCCCTTAAAATACAACATTAGACTGAAATTCTATGCATTAGACTGTAGACAGATCCACCGAAATGATTGGACTTGCCTTTGAATAATCATGCATAGGATTGCAATGTTAATCTTCAAAATATATCCAGAGCAAGAGCAAGGTTTTGAACTTTCCGGAGATTTTTGTTCTCTTCATATATGCTCTATTGGAAAGTTTTTGACCATAGTCTCCAAGAAAAAACTGAAATATTACCCCAGAAGAACAGTACGTCAGAAAGCAGGAAATGATCAGAGCACATGACAAAAGACATGGATCATGGTGATAAAATACTGACACATCCTAAGAAACGGTGATATAAGAAATATGTTATATGTCCAAAGGTGGTACTTTCCAAAAACAAATTATACAGTAGATGTGGTATTTCTAAGAAAATTACATGTAATGGATGCTTGAGGTAGGATACAATATATATTTCAGTTTAATGGTTTCTTGTACCCTCTTCTGTCTTCATTTGTT